CAGTGTTGCCGCAAGGCTGGGCTGGTAGTTCTCCATGTAGGACGTTCTACGGCCAATGCCGCTTGCAGATCCCTCCAAAGCACAGTGGTTGTGTTGCCCATCACAAAGTCGATTCATCGCCACCGACATCGTGACCTTGGAGGTCAGAAGGGCTGTCGCCTTTTTCACAAGCTCCCATGAGCCAACAGGGTTGAGGCAGCAGCTGCCAAACATGCACTGGTGGAAGATCGTGAAGTAGCCCGGAAGATCTTTGAGTGCGGTGGTCTTCCAACTGCGAGCAAGTTCAGGTTGCTCTATGTGGGCATGTCGGGCATTGTCCGCCTGCTCCATGTAGATCTGGGCAACGAACTTCAAGTGCACCTTGTGGTGTCGAGCTCGCTTGTTGTAGAGCTCCAGCTGCTGAGACTCAGTTCGAGCCGCAAGGTTCTGCATTTGGCTCCACAGCCGGCAGTCAGGGCTGATGTAAACTTCATCTGGCATCTCATCACGTTGACGTTCAAGAAAGGCACGTTGGTGCTCAGGATCATCAAAGTCCCATCCAGTGTTGGGCCCAAAACATTCCACAGTCATGCCCATGCTTTCGGCGATCTTGGCCACTCGAGCCTCACCACAGTACACTTCCCACAAGACCCGAGGTCGGTCACCAGAGTTAGAGTTGTGCAGCTCGGAGGTGACATAGGCATGGAGGCTGTTCTCCAACTCGTTCAAGTGGACGTCACAAGTGTCCAAGAGATGGCGCTGCATAGGGCGCATGCCCTCATTTGAAGCACATTCAGTTGGGGCCATCTCAAACAGGTTCTCCATGTTGTTGAACTCCTTGAAGGACGTGGTGTTGGCTTCGGTGTCGGCTGGGGCAATCAGCTCAAACGCTGGTGGGTGAGCCAGCCAGGCCAAGTCGTAGTCATCCAAAAGTGGCAAAAGGTATTCGCCATGGGCTCCAATCACAGTGGTCTGCCAGTCCATGTCGCCAAGCTTGATGCGTCGTCGGCCACAGTCCAAGACCAATCCAAGTTGCTCCATGATTGGCCGTCCCATCAGCATAGGCGTTTCTCCCTTGAGGAGGTACATCTGGACATAGCCAAACTGGCCAGCCAGGAACATAGGCAGCTTCACTGCCCACTGGCACTGAGAGCTTGCATCACCTCCAAAGTGGAAGGTGCGAGAGCATCGCATGAACTCCAGCTGCGTGATGTCAAAGTCCATCTCGCGCAGCTTCTCCACATAGCGCTTGAAGGGACCGTAGCCGCTCAGGAATGCCGAAGCGCCAGGATCCAGCATAGAGCAGTCAGGTCGCTCATGGCCACGGTCATCCAAGAAGATGACAAGTCCATGCTCATCTCCAACCACTGACTCGGTTGGTGCAGCTCTCTTCTTTGTGCTCCCCTTTGGAACTGGACAGTTGTAGGTTGTGTGACCCTGTTGTCCACACCTCAGGCACGTCGTGGATGCCAGGGCTGCTTGAGCACGTCCACGAGGGTCAGCTTTTCCAGGACCGCGTGGTGGGTACTTCACGGTCGTGCGACCACCCTTGCCCTTGTTCTTCCCTTTTGGTTTGCCTTTCCCTTTGCCTCGACCAGGTGAAGACGAAGGTGAGGCTGATGGCGAAATGCCAAGGGAAAGTGCAGCAGCAGCTTCGCTGAGGGCGACGATGGGCAAATAGCCACGTGCCAGCTTGATGTCGTTGAAGCGCTTGCGAGCATCAAGATAGGCTGCAAAGGCACTGTCGTACTCCTCAGCTTGCTCTTGTGGGTCTTCTGGAGGAGCTTCATCACCATAGTAGGCTGCAACATCGCCAAACCCAGTGGTGTCCTCCTCAAAGTACCCATGGTGCGAGGGAGACTCATAGTGGGTCGGTGAGTCATTGTGCTCCGTGTAGTACTCGTCGTACTCATAGTGGGCGGAGTAGTCCTCAGCGTCATAGTCGTAGGACTCATCCCAACGACCTGGATCGGCTTCATCATCACCATAGAAGGCTGCATAGCCACGACCTTTTCCTCTGTGGCCTCCTTTGGAGTGTCCAGCCACAGTCACGCTGTTCGCGCGTCAAGCCAGCACGTCGTAGGAGGTGCCACCCTTGAACCTGGTTGGGCAACGTCACCTTGTGGTCGGCCAACCTGTTGTAGAGCTCGTCATGCAAGGTGCAATAGTCCAGCAACGTCTGACCGCTATGTCGCTGGAAGCCACTGAAGTACTTGTCGAAGTCGCCAGGGAGTTGAACTCTATTGTCATACTCGAAGGCCTTGTCCAACAGCTTCATCAGACGGTTGAAGGCATCGCCCTTCTCCACATCCTCCAGCGGGAAAGCTTCCACAACCTTCCAGGCTGTTCCACTCAAGCTGGAGATCAAGTTGAGGACACCTTCCGTCTCCTGCTTCAACAGCTTCATCTTGGTCATGTAGAGGGATATCCCAGTCGCCAGTCGCCTGCACAGGGCGAAGCACCAGAAGGGCCTGCACAGGACCCAGCGCAGCAATGAGGCCTGCTCAGGGCCAAGAACAGCAAAGGGGCCTGCTCAGGGCCAAAGTCCGGTGTAGAGGCCTGCGCAGGGCCTAGAACTGCAGAGAGGCCTGCTCAAGGCCAGAGTCCAGAAAGACCAAGTCCAGCGAAAGGCCTGCTCAGGGCCAGATCTCCGAAGAGGCCTGCGCAGGGCCAAGCAGCAAAGCGAAGCGTGAGCACAAAGGCTCCGCTGCCAATGCGAAGATTGGGGGGTAGCCAGCCCACGAAGTCCGGTCCCACCAAGCAGCGTCAGCTGCAGCAACCTTTCACGAGGAGGTTGCGTCACCGTAGCGCCATCCAGCGCTTAGATCCCTCCCTTAAGAGGAAATAGCCACGGCAAGGCCGTGGTATGAATGGAATGACCCATGGTGCATGGAGTGCACTTGATACATATAAAAATATATGTATATATACATATATACATGCATAGATACATACACGCACACAAGTATACACACACACATATACATACATTCATACATACATTGCATTACATTACATTTACATTACATTACATTAGTTACATTACATTACATTACATTACATTACATTATATACACTACATGCATTACATATACATACATTACATACATTACATACATTACATACATTACATACATTACATACATTACATACATTACATACATTACATACATTGCATACATTGCATACATTACATACATTACATACATTACATACATACATACCATACATACCATACATACCATACATACCACACATACCATACATACCATACATACCATACATACCATACATACCATACATACCATACATACCATACCATATCATACCATACCATAATACCTGCATACCAACATACATAAAAACATACATAGCAACATAGCAACATACCAACATACCAACATACATACATGCATACATACATACATACATACATACCAACATACATACATACATACATACATACGTACGTACGTACGTATACGTACGTACGTACATACGTACATACGTACACACATACATGCATACATACATACATACACCTTACATACATTACATACATTACACATTACCATTACATACATTACATTACATACATTACATACATTACATACATTACATACATTACATACATTACATACATTACATACATACATTACATACATTACATACATTACATACATTACATACATTACATACATTACATACATTACATACATTACATACATTGCATACATTGCATACATTACATACATTATATACATTACATACATACCATACATACCATACATACCATACATACCACACATACAACACATACCCACACATACCATACATACCATACATACCATACATACCATACATACCATACATACCATACATACCATACATACCATATATACCATACATACCATACCATATCATACCATACTATACCATACCATACCATACTACCTGCATACCAACATACATAAAAACATACATAGCAACATACCAACATACCAACATACCAGCATACATACATACATACATGCATACATACATACATACATACCAACATACCAACATACATACATACATACATACATACATACGTACATACATACATACATACATACATTACATACATTACATACATTACATACATTACATACATTACATACATTACATACATTACATACATTACATACATTACATACATTACATACATTACATACATTACATACATTACATACATTACACATACATTACATACATTACATACATTACATACATTACATACATTACATACATTACATACATTAGATACATTAGATACATTAGATACATTACATACATTACATACATTGCATACATTACATACATTACATACATTACATACATTACATACAGTACATACATTACATACATTACATACATCCATACATCCATACATCCATACAGACAGACAGACAGACACGTAGTCACGTAGACACGTAGACACGTAGACACGTACACACGTACACATGTACACACGTACGCAGATACGCACAGACACGCACAGACATACACACATACACACAGACACACACACACACACAGACACACACACACAGACACACACACACAGACATACACACATACACACACACAGACACGCACACACAGACACACACAGACACACACAGACATACACACATACAGACACACACACAGACATACGCACATACAGACACACACACACATACACACACACATACAGACACACACATACAGACACACACATACAGACACACATATACACACACATACACACAGACACACACACACATACACACATACACACACATATACACATTCACACATACACACATACAGACATACAGACAGACATACATGTGTATATATATATATATTTGACTGATTACATTTGATTACATTTGATTACATTTGATTACATTTGATTACATTTATATGTTCGAAAGGCGCTCTATCATCCTTTTGGCCGTAAAGTCCCAAAACCTTCCCGTTCGCGTCGGCAGTTGGCTTCGAAGTTCGACGGCAGAGCGGTTGCAGCGTCTGATGACGCCGGATTTACGGAGCGCAACCCCGAGGCGGTGCAATATGCGAAGTGATGGAAGAACCGGTTCAGAACGAATAGAAGAATTGGTGCACCAGAACAAGGACTGATATATGATATATGCATCCTTTGCTCATCAAACCATCAAACATTCATTTCATGTTTGGTCATCGGCCATTTTTGGTGATGGCACAGGCTGTGGTTCAGGCGCAGTCGCCGCAATTGGCGGCTTGGGAAGTGTTGCCTTTGACCCCAAAGCAGCTGGAGCACCTTGGTGCGTGAGAGACATACAGAGACACACAGAGATACCCTCTGGTTATTTAACAACATAACCATGGAAAAGGGCCCATTTATAGATGGTTTACCTATTACAAATGGTGATTTTCCATGGCTATGTTAAATAACCAGAGGGTACTATTTATAAATGAATGTATCTCAGGACTTTTATAAGGCCATTGCGGCTCAAAACATGTTGGAACAGATTTGGTGAAGTGCATTTTTCACTGCGTTTGAGAGCCAAGGTGTCGTGCCATCCGAGTAAGCAATTTGATTCGTGGCCTGAAAGTTCGGGAGCTTGAAGAGGTTTTCACTTCGCAGGCGTCAAATAGCGGTCTTTCATGTCACACCCTGGTCATGAAAATTCTGATCGTAGAAGACTTAGAAGTCTCATCATGTTTTCAGCTTATTGCAATTTATTACAGCATACATTGGCATACCATGTGCACAAACGTATCATGTCCCCCGCAGAGGTGGGACCTGTCGAAAAGGTCGTCGTTTCGGAGGGCTTTGCCCAGATCTCCTTTGGTGCGGCAAAGCACGCGTTTGCGGCTGTGCAGAAATGCGATGGCAGTGTGCTGGACCGCTGCTGAGAATGCCATGTATGTCGCGCTGTTAGCACTACCATCATTGAATATCATTGATGCTGTTTGACTGTGTTTGATTGTTTCATGATGTTTCATGTGATTTTCTTTCCAATTTCCGACTGGCGGTAGGTTCTGTCCTGCCATATTCCAACGCATTTTGAGTTGCGTTTCGCCCAGGAAGTTACTGAGAGAGATGAGAGAGCAGGAGAGAGGAGCCTGACATTAACACCAATCCCTTGGCACAGTAGTGGGAATGCACTCAGGCAAATGCTTTTGGGCTGCATTTGTGGCCAAAGGAAAGAACAGGTTTGGAACATTTAGAGAAAGAGAATGGAAGTGATGAGGTTTCAAAAATATAGATGTAGATTCTGCAAGTCAGTTGCTCCTTTCTGCCAGAAAGGTTGACACTACTCTTGAAATGACATGATTGATCAGTTCATCAGCAGACTGACATGGTCAGTTCCATGTTTTGCCATGATTTGGACGCCCAAATTTTTCATGACATCAATTGGCAGCTTTGCCATTGACGCCCACCATGATTTGACAGCGAGGTTTTCAGATTTCCTGTATGCTTTGGATGAGTGCCACTATCGAAGAGGCGACCGGTGGCTGACCATCGCCGAGGTGCAAAAGGCGATGGCTGGAGCCGGATCCAATGGATGGCTTGTTCCGGTCCTGCAATATCCTGAATCTTCATGTCGTTTGCATGTCGTCTTCTTGTCTTTTTCATGTCTTTTTCATTTCTTTGATGTTATGTTCATGTTGCTTTCATGTCGTTTGCATGTCGTCTTCTTGTCTTTTTCATGTCTTTTTCATTTCTTTGATGTTATGTTCATGTTACTTTCATGTCGTTTGCATGTCTTCTTTTTCATGTCTTTTTCATTTCTTTGATGTTATGTTCATGTTACTTTCATGTCGTTTGCATGTCGTCTTCTTGTCTTTTTCATGTCTTTTTCATTTCTTTGATGTTATGTTCATGTTACTTTCATGTCGTTTGCATGTCGTTTTCTTGTCTTTTTCATGTCTTTTTCATTTCTTTGATGTTATGTGCATGTTACTTTCATGTCGTTTGCATTTCGTCTTCTTGTCTTTTTCATGTCTTTTTCATTTCTTTGATGTTATGTTCATGTTACTTTCATGTCGTTTGCATGTCGTCTTCTTGTCTTTTTCATGTCTTTTTCATTTCTTTGATGTTATGTTCATGTTACTTTCATGTCGTTTGCATGTCGTCTTCTTGTCTTTTTCCTGTCTTTTTCATTTCTTTGATGTTATGTTCATGTTGCTTTCATGTCGTTTGCATGTCGCTTTCTTGTCTTTTTCATGTCTTTTTCATTTCTTTGATGTTATGTTCATGTTACTTTCATGTCGTTTGCATGTCGTCTTCTTGTCTTTTTCATGTCTTTTTCATTTCTTTGATGTTATGTGCATGTTACTTTCATGTCGTTTGCATGTCGTCTTCTTGTCTTTTTCATGTCTTTTTCATTTCTTTGATGTTATGTTCATGTTACTTTCATGTCGTTTGCATGTCGTTTTCTTGTCTTTTTCATGTCTTTTTCATTTCTTTGATGTTATGTTCATGTTACTTTCATGTCGTTGCATGTGTCGTATTGTCTTTTAGTGGCTTTTTCATTTTCTTTGATGTTATGTTCATGTTACTTTCATGTCGTTTTGCATGTCGTCTTCTTGTCTTTTTACAGTCTCTGTCATTTCTTTGAGGTTATGGTTCATGTTTAATTTCATGTAGTTGCATGTAGTCTTCTTGTCTTTTCATGTCTTGTTCATTTCTTTGATTTATGTTCATGTTACTTTCAGGTCGTTTGCATGTGTCTTCTTGCTTTTTCCTGTCTTTTCAATTTCTTGATGTTATGTTTAAGGTGGCTTTCATACTCGTCGTTTGCCATGTGGCTGTCTTGTCTTTTTCATGTCTTTTCATTTCGTGTGATGTTAGGTCTGTTACTTTCATGTCGTTTGCATGTCGTCTTCTTGTCTTTTTCATGTCTTTTTCATTTCTTTGATGTTATGTTCATGTTACTTTCATGTCGTTTGCATGTCGTGTTCATGTCGTTTTCTTGTCTTTTTCATTTCTTTGATGTTATATGTTCATGTTACTTTCATGTCGTTTGCATGTCGTGTTCATGTCGTTTTCATGTCTTTTTCATTTCTTGGATGTTATGTTCATGTTACGTTCATGTCGTTTGCATGTCGTGTTCATGTCGTTTTCATGTCTTTTTCATTTCTTGGATGTTTTTTTTATGTTACTTTCATGTCGTTTTCATGTCTTTTTCATTTCTTTGATGTTATGTTCATGTTACTTTCATGTCGTTTGCATGTCGTCTTCTTGTCTTTTTCATGTCTTTTTCATTTCTTGGATGTTATGTTCATGTTACTTTCATGTCGTTTGCATGTCGTGTTCATGTCGTTTTCATGTCTTTTTCATTTCTTGGATGTTTTTTCATGTTACTTTCATGTCGTTTTCATGTCTTGTTCATTTCTTTGATGTTATGTTCATGTTACTCTCATGTCGTGTTCATGTCGTTTTCTTGTCTTTTTCATGTCTTTTTCATTTCTTTGATGTTATGTTCATGTTACTTTCATGTCGTTTGCATGTCGTGTTCATGTCGTTTTCTTGTCTTTTTCATTTCTTTGATGTTATGTTCATGTTACTTTCATGTCGTTTGCATGTCGTGTTCATGTCCTTTTCATGTCTTTTTCATTTCTTGGATGATATTTCCATGTTACTTTCATGTCGTTTTCATGTCTTTTTCATTTCTTTGATGTTATGTTCATGTTACTTTCATGTCGTTTGCATGTCGTGTTCATGTCGTTTTCTTGTCTTTTTCATTTCTTTGATGTTATTTTTATATTACTTTCATGTCGTTTGCATGTCGTTTGCATGTCGTGTTCATATCGTTTTCATGTCTTTTCATTTCTTTTGATGTTGTTTTCAAATATTTTCATGTTACTTTCATGTCGTTTGCATGTCGTGTTCATGTCGTTTCCATGTCTTTCCATTTCTTTTGATGTTGTTTTCAAATATTCTCATGTTACTTTCATGTCGTTTGCATGTCGTGTTCATGTCGTTT